GGCGGGTGGGCTCCCCGGTCCTCGGGCTCCCCCGGTGCTCGGGCTCCCCGGTCCTCGGGCTCCCCCGGTGCCCCGGGCTCCTCACTCCTGCTTCTTGGGGTTGTTGACGGCCACGTAGTGGTAGAGCACGACGAGCAGGAAGAGCGAGACGCCCAGCATGTTGGCGAAGATGGCGAGCTGCACGTCCGTGATCATCCTGCGGGCCACGGGCAGCGGACGCGCTGGCATCCCGCGGGGGGGACCGCCACGGGCTCCCGCCCCTGCCCGGTGCCCCGGTTCCCGTTCCCGCCCGGCCCCCGGTGTCCTGGTTCCCGCCCCTGACCGGAACCCCCGGTGTCCTGGTTCCCGCCCCTGACCGGAACCCCCGGTGTCCCGCCCGGGCCCCCCGGTACCCGTTCCTTCCGGGGCCTCCCAGTCTCCCGGTTCCCGCTCCTGACCGGGTGCCCCGCTCTGTCCCCGTGCCCCGCTCTGTCCCCGGTTCCCGCTTTCCCCCCCCGGCTCCCGCTCTGTCCCCGGTTCCCGCTCCCTCCCCGTGTCCCGCTCTGTCCCCGGTTCCCGCTTTCCCCCCGTGCCCCGCTCTGTCCCCGGTTCCCGCTCTGTCCCCGGTTCCCGCTCTCCCCCCGGTTCCCGCTCTCCCCCCGGTTCCCGCTCTCCCCCCCGGTTCCCGCTCTCCCCCCCGGTTCCCGCTCTGCCCCCCGGTTCCCGCTCTCCCCCCGGTTCCCCGCGCTCACGCTCCGGCCCCGCCGCTCCGACACGTCTCCCTGCGCGCGCTACTTCCGGCCGCGGGGCACGGCGGGAGGCGTCCGGCCCCGGCGGTGACGTCACGGCAACCGGGCCCCGGCCAGGCGGTGGGCTCGTGGCCGCCGTGACGTCACATCACCCAGCCCCTCGGTGTGACGTCACGGTCCGGGCCCGCCCCCTGGCGGCCGCCGCCGGCTCCGTCTCCATACAAGGCGCGGCGCGAGGGCGGGGCGGGGCCGAGCGGCCCCGGGGCGGCCGCGGCTAATTAGCGCTAATGACAGCAGTGACAGCTCACTGCAGCTGCTGACAGCGGGCGAGCCCGCGCGGCTGCAGCGGGAGACGTGCCGGGGCATACTGGGAGGCGCTGGGCTGTACTGGGGGATACTGGAGTGTACTGGGCCGTACTGGTCCGTACTGGTCCATACTGGGCCGTACTGGGGCGTACTGGGCTGTCCTGGTCCGTACTGGTCCATACTGGGCCGTACTGGGGCGTACTGGGCTGTCCTGGTCCGTACTGGTCCATACTGGGCCGTACTGGGGCGTACTGGGCTGTCCTGGTCCGTACTGGTCCATACTGGGCCGTACTGGGGCGTACTGGGCTGTCCTGGTCCGTACTGGTCCATACTGGGCCGTACTGGGGCGTACTGGGCTGTCCTGGTCCGTACTGGTCCATACTGGGCCGTACTGGGGCGTACTGGGCTGTCCTGGTCCGTACTGGTCCATACTGGGCCGTACTGGGGCGTACTGGGCTGTCCTGGTCCGTACTGGTCCATACTGGGCCGTACTGGGGCGTACTGGGCCGTACAGGTCCCTACTGGTCCGTACTGGGCCGTACTGGTACGTACTGGACTGTACTGGTCTGTACTGGTCCGTACTGGTCCATACTGGTCTA